ATTTGCAGTGTTGCACAGCCTTTGGCTCATGAGAACAAGCAACACAGAAAAGTAATGATGATTCTCCCTACTTTAGAGACAAAGAAATGGGGGCTCAGAATTTGGGGTACAAGCCAGATCTAAGCCATGACATTTTCAGTTGCTTCATATACATGTGAAATTTGCACAGTGAACAAGGAAGATTGAAGTAGAATTCATTACTTTGATTTGTGGAATTTGGTGAAGACTCTTGGATATACCATGAGCTTCCAACAAAATAATCCTTACAACACAGATCTAGAAGACACATCACCCTCTCCTGGGAAACTATCCTCTTGTATCAGCACCATGCTGTAAGTGGAAGAGAAGAGGCACTAAGCCACAAGCAGCCAGTCCTGGAGTAGAAGTTCAAGGCAAAGGACTTTTCCTCAGAACCGTCTGAGATAGGAAGTCTTCTCTGATATTAGTACCCGGTATCTAGACTTTGAGACTCTTAAACTCAAGAGATACTGGCCACAGCATAAGAAACTGGCAGCAGTGCAAGTTGTTTGGAATCACAGAAGTCCAGATGGCTTGAGACTTAAGTAATTATATCAAGGGCTGAATATGGGGAGAGAGTGTTGAACTGCGTAGATGGCAGGGGGAAGAATGCTTATGTAGTAGGGAAAGTCAACACATGCGCCAAGGGCACGGAATCTATTGGTCAGTCTGTAACTGAGTAAATGTCTTTCACCTGTTCTTTTCTGTAAAATGCTGTCTGTTAGATACTATTTTACGTCTGAGCACTGAAATTAAGACAGAGTAGGAGGAAGGATTGGCCATCCATTTCCAAAATAACAGGACTTTGAAAACCCTATGTACAACAGAGCACACTTAGACTAGCAGACATAGCAACGGAGGCTGAGACTTCATATATGGAAACACAAAGAAGGATTACACAAAATAGTTGTAAGCAGATGCTAGTGATTGGAATGTGGAAAGTGAAAAGCATGAATGTAGGAAAATTGGGCAATGCTAAGAAAAAAATGGAACACATAAATATTGACATACTAGGTATTGGTGAAGTGAGATGGCTTGGCATGGGACATTTTGAATCTAATCATATAATCTACTATGCTGAAGAGGAAAAAATGGGGTTGCTTTCATAACTAAAAAAGTCATTGCTATACCCATCTTGAAATACAATGTGGTGAGTGACAGGATAATATCCATACCTACACAAGGAAGTCCAGTGAATAACATTATCACTCAAATATATACACTGACAACTAGAGCCAAAGAGGAGGAAATTGAAGATTTCTACCAACTTTTGCAGTCAGAAATCGATCAAACATGTAATCAAGATGCATTAATAACAATGGGTGACTGCAATGCAAAAATTGGGAACAGGGAAGAAGGATCAATAACTGAAAAATATGGACTTGGTGACAGAAATGAAGCTGGAGATAGAATGATAGAATACTGCACATTCAATGATTTATTAATTGCAAATATCTTTTATAAGAAACACAAATGCAAGCTATACACATGGATTTCACCTGATGGTATGCATAGGAATCAAATCTGTAGAAAGAATCACTGGAGAAGCTCATTATCAGCTGTGAAAACTAAGTCAGGTGCTGATTGTGGAACAGACCACCAAGTTCATATTCAAGTTCAAACTTAAGTTGAAGAAAATTAAATCAAATCCACAGGAGCCAAAATTTGACATTAAGTCTATCCTACTCGAATTTCAAATCCATTTCAGGAACAGATTTGAGGCCTTGAACACCAATGAGTGAAGAACAAATTGAGCTGTGGGAGGATATCAAGAATATCATACATGAAGAAAGCAAAAGGTCATTACCAAAGCAGAGGAGGAAGAAAAGACCAGGAAGGATGTCAGATGAATATTGCACTAGAGTGCTGAGAAGCCAATGCAAAGGGAAGAAATCAAGACATTAAGGAGCTGAACAGAAGATTTCAAAGGGCAATTTGGGAAGACAAAGTATTATAATGAACTGTGCAAGGAGACTTAGTTGGAAAAGAAGACTCTTAATATGGATTAACACAGGGTATGCAACAGGCGACTTTAGCACAGGAAATTTTGAGAATGACACAGGATTGGGTGAGGTTTCAACTTGTTTGTACATATTAGTCCTTATGAGTTGGGAGTGAATTGACTGCACCCAAACCAAGATTCGGAAGATTGTCAATGGTTCTGGCACCAAATGTCTGTTCAGGCTTCCTACCTTTTTTTACCTTTTCTCAGGACTTGTACCTAAGCCTAACTTAAGATTCCTTGCAAAGAGGACTTCACCCTTTATACTAACCACATGGCTGTTGACTTTGAAACATGAAAGCAGACATAGGGGTAGAGCCAGAAACAACATAAGTGTAAAGATTAAATAGCATGCATCAACCGGCATGTGCCAGCAATGTAGACATGCCCAGTCCACTGCAGTGTGGGAAGTACATGTTTAACTCCCGGCTCTCTGAGGGGAATGCTTGATGTGTAGTGTGCTAACGTCCATGGTATAAATACTCCAGCATTGCTTACTTGAAGCTATTAATGTGGTATCACAGAATATGGAGACAGGAAGAAACCTGCACATGCACCAGTTTCAGCTGTCTCTAACACCCCACTGCTAGCCGACAGCAGAAGCTCAGGAAATCCTACTTTGCTAGATTGACTTGGCACATTTTTCATTTGTATCATGAAAGGTACTTGAGTAATTTCATGCAGCCACAGGCACCCCTTCATATGTGAAATTTTCTGGGCACCGGATGTGTCCAGTTTGGGGTTGGGGAATTGAATACACTTTGACTATCTCACTGTGCCGGCTATAAGACCTCTGGCAAGAGATGTAACCCTTTGTTTGATGCCTTAATTTCCTCATCTGGAAATGGGCAAGAGTTGTATTTCATAAGCGGTTGGCGAGTGTGAGGTGTTAGTTTAGTGCCTTGCATGGAGTAAAATGGAGAGATGAATAGTAGTTGTTGTTAGGAACCATTAAGTTGGTTAGGACCCTATTCTGTGTCATCTCTAACATAGTGAGTCTGTTGTTACACTGTGTCAATCCAACTTGTTTGCAGTCTTCCTCTCTTTCTCTAACCTATCACCTTTTCCAGCATGATGTCTTTTTCCAAAGACTGGCTCTTCCCAACAGCAAGCTCAAAGTATGTGAGATGAAGTTTCAACACATTTGCCGGTAAGAAGCACCCTGATTGCACTGTCTTGAAAACATTTTTGTTTGTTCTTTTGACAATTTATTGGATATTCAGTAGTCTTCTCTAGTAAATACTACCCCACTCAATAAAGTGCACAGATGCCCCACAGAAGGATTGTCTGTTGGAAGAGATTTCAGAAGGTGAGTGTGGAGAGGGCAAGGAACAGGTGGCATCTGACAGGTGTTGGGAGAAGAACACTGTGGGCCCAGGGCCTTATGGAAATCTCTATACAGACATTCATCTCTGCACTCAGTCTTGGAGCTTTGGGATGTAGGGTACCTAGATTACTTCTGCCTTTGTTACTGTTGTTGATATGGTGGAGTAGGCACCCTTAGAGTGCAGCTGTTCCTCCAGCAGGAGACTCAATTTCCTTAACTCCTGTGGATGGAGCAATCTGCTTTACAGGTTGTGATAAAGCCCTATTTGAGAAACAATGATGGGGAGGATGTTCCAACACTTGACCAGGCTAAACTGGGCATTGAGGTGTTCAAGCCTTCTTCCCAAGGGTGAGCTCACTACCAAATCTGAGCCTTCGCATTCTAGCGTGCCCATTTTCTACAGTTATACCAGGATTCCCAGAGCAGGGTGTCCAAGGAGAGGTGGCACGTTCGGGTAAGCCTGCTGCCTCCTCTTGGGACCAGTGAAGCCTTGCAGGCAACACTCACTCTCTCACCCGTTGCAGTGGGATGGGTATGGACTCATAGCTGGTTCTCCAACAAATTTCTGGTGCTACCGTGGTCCCGAGAGCTCCTGGTAGATTTGAATCTTCTGAGAGCCCTCTGAGTTAGTATTCAACTCCCCTGTATTCCACCACCAGAACTCCCTCATCGGCCAGCAGCCTTGAGAAGTTGCGGTAATTACAGGAGGTTATTACCCACCTGGAATGGGGAGACCTAAAGAGCACGGGCCTGCTTAGCTGGGCGACTTCTCCTTGGCAGTGCAGAGGCTAAGCGCCTTTAGAGGCCAGCGCCGCCCCCCTCCCTTCTGGTAGCATAACCTTGGGCAAGTAACCTTTCTACGGTCTTCTCGAGTAAAAATCGTGCCTTGGGACCAGGCGGAGCTGGGGGAAGAAAGAGGCCTTGTAAAGCTCGGTGTCCACGTGTGTGCGGCTGCTCGAACCGCGAGGTTCCAGAGGAGGAGGACCAGGATACTTGCTCAGGCGCCGGCCTTCCCAAGTCATCCTCCTAAGGGCTCCAGAGCCTCAGGGGTATCTGCTGCCCGAGCCCGCAGAGGGCAGGGCGGACCTGCAGCCCGGTGGGCGTGGCTGCCCCGCCTGCCCTCCCCGGCCAGGGGCTGGGCGAGTGGAAGCCCCGCCTCCGGGATTGGCTTGGTGCGGTTGCAAGACGCTAAACCGACCACAGACTAGTCTAAACGCGCGGAGTTCCGCGCCCCGGCGTTCGCCATCCAAGAGGCTTTGGAACGGTGCGCTGCGGATCCGCCTCGGAGCGCTCGTAAGCTTGGCCGTGGCATGGACAGCCACCATTCGCCCTGTAAGTGCTGCCTCGTCCCCGCCTCAGCGCCTTTGTGTGCTTGCCGCGCCACCGCAGCCCTCTCCCCGCACGCTTTTTGCGTGCGGGGCCCGAGTCCTTTGTGGAACGTCTCTAGGCAGCGGGCCCGGCAGTGCTGGGCTCCCTTCCCCGGGGCCAGATCCCCTCCCCCTCCCGGGCTTCCTGTCTGGCTGCCACCTTCCCAGGGACCCCCAGGGACCCTGCGGGCTAGGCCCTTCCCTGGCGGGCAGTGGGGCTGTCTCAGCCCACGGCAGGTGCGGCTGGCTGGCTCTCACGCGGGCCTGTTTGTCCTTGTCCCCAGAAATGAACAGCGATGGCAGCGGCAGAGTCGTCCCCGGAGCTCTGATGGAAAGCAGGAGCGGCTCCCGGGCGGCCGCAGGTATGGCGGAGCAGGCGGCGGCGCCGAGGGCGCGTGAGCCCCGGCCAGTGCACCAGCGCTTTCTGCGGCGCAGCGTGGTGGAGTCGGACCAGGAGGAGCCGCTGGGCCTGGAGGCGGCCGAGGGATTGTGCGTGCAGCCCCAGCAGCCGCTGCAGCGCCGGGTCCTTCTGCTGTGCAAGACGCGCCGTCTCATCGCCGAGCGCGCGAGGGGTGCCGGCCGCCCAGCACCCGCCGCTCGGACCCTGTCCCCCGGCGCCCCCTCGCCCGCCATGGGGCAGGTTGCCGATTCGCCGCTCCCCGGGCCGGTACAGGGTCCTGCCGCCGCCACCACCTTGGCCTCATCGGCTCCCGACGGTGATCCTCTGGGTGAAGCAGCGGCCGAAAGGAAGGAGGAGGCAGGCGCGCCTGAGATCCGGTCGGATCCTGGGCGCGCCCGGAGAGAGGAGCCAGAGGAAGATGAGGACGACGAGGACGACCTCAAGGCAGTGGCCACCTCACTTGACGGCCGCTTCCTCAAGTTTGACATAGAACTGGGCCGCGGGTCCTTCAAGACTGTCTACAAGGGGCTGGACACAGAGACGTGGGTGGAGGTGGCCTGGTGTGAGCTGCAGGTGAGCAGACGCAGAGCCCCGCGCGGGTGCCCTTGGGTGCTTCCGGAGGTGTTGGCAGCACTAGGACAGGGATGGTGGTTTGTGGGTAATGCTGGGCCCCCAGGTGGGGTGTGGTTTGGAACGGTGTGATGTGCTGGTCTGGTCGAGGGAGGAGTCTGGTTGGGTCTCCATTCATTGCCCTCTTGGAGTCTTGTGTCAGGTGCCTGTTGCCCAGCGCTCTCCTGGGTTTTGCTGCCCCTGGTAGTCTAGGTGGTTACATCTCTGCAGCACCAGAGTGAGGGCTGGGACCTCTGGGTTGCCTTTTAAGTTAGCACCTTCTGGATGTCCTGCAAGGTAGGTGTAGGTGTCCTCCCCAAAAGCGTACTAGTGCTTCTTTCATCCTGAGAGGCCCAGGTAGGTGGAACCCAGGTGCTGTGTTCCGCGGGTAGGCTTTCTAGTGCTAAGGGAATTAAAAAAAATGGGCTCCACAGTGGGCCCAGAGACAGGTAGTGCCATATAAGTTGAAGGGCTTATTTGGGAGTTTTTGGAGCAAAAGCTCAGGGTATGCATTTTTCATAACCTTGTCCTTCTCTTGGCTGTGTCAGCTGCGGTGCTGGAAAGTTGTATAAATGGTAACCCGAGCTGCCCAAGCCAGCCTAGGGAGTCAGGGCAGCATGGGTTCCAGCTGGGCCTTGTTGTCAGTGGCCTTGTGCGATAACTGAGAGGTGGAGGTGTAAATCTACCCAGGCCCTTTAAAGTTAGCTGAGGTCTAACTGGGCACTGAGTACTAGCCTCCAGAGCTCTGGGCACGCTATAGGAGCTTGCCATTTTTGCCTGGTCCTTGGGTTTAGTGTCTGTGTTCTATGGCTGATTCTGTGTGAGGTCTTTATGTTTGTGTACAAGCTAGGCTGATCTAGCATGCATCAACCTGCTATAAGCTCTTCTTCCTAAGTAGCACGAGCTCCAGAGGCTCCCCTGCCTCAGAGCCAGAGACTCTGTCATGGAAGTGTGTGGGCTTTTCATCATGAATGTCAGAGTGGGTGAGGAGGAAGCCAGGAAAAGTGTGCTCTCATCAAAACACTTTAGATCTGAACTTCCCCAGTGGTGAAGGATGGCAGATGAGCAGAGTAGGGGGCTGCACTTTGTCGACTTGGGCTGCTGAGGTTAGCATGGGGCATGAGTTTGGCCTTCTTGCTGCATGAGAGGACAGAGCAGAGAGCACTGGCTGGAATAGGATACACTGCAGGGAAGAAGGCAATTCTTGGTTCCAGAGAGGTATGTGTGGCTTCCCTAATCCTCCAGTCTTACAGAAATGTCCTTTGTTCCAGTGGTCTTCCACTGAGCGGGTTGCTGCAGCACACTGAATTCAGGTTAGACTTCAGTACACTGAGCCCTTCTGATTTTGCTGAAGCACTGCAGGAGCTTGTGACTGTCGAGGCTGCTCCTTCCCAGTCCCTTTCAGGAAAGGACAGTGCCTTTGTTGATGGGATGTGATTCTCAGCACAGAGTGGCATGCGGCCTGTATCCAGGGCTTCTTGGGTGGCAGTGGGAAAGGTGAGATGGCTTCCAGTCCACACAGAGGAATTCCCTGTATGGCTGTTACTGGAGCCCCTAGCTGTCAATGAGACAACTCTTGTCCCTCTCACAATAAGAGGGGTGATTGTGTCCACCTTAGATGGACATCTCAATTTCGCTTCTCCTTTTTCCTTTTCCTGGGCCAGTCTGAGCATGCTTTCTATAAGAAGGGAGGTGGGCTATCTCAGATGAGTGTCCTTCCCAGAGCTTGCTGGGCGTCTGACTGGTCCAGAGACCACTATTTTATCCTTGCTGTTCTCCTTACACGTCCCGATGGCATTACTCTTCCCATGTGATTGTTGAGAATGGTAAGGAATGGGCGTTACTTTTAAAGGTCACCTAGGTCACAAGGAGATTGTCATGTTGTGGGGAGGTCTGAGCAGGTCTGAACCTGGGCAGGTCTGGGCAGTAGGGAGGCTTGGGCATCAATCAAAAGGGATTGATGGAAGCAGGTCCCCAAATCGGGGTGGAGAATGCCGATGGCGAGGAATAGCCCTGTGCCATGGTAGCAGGTCTGAGAGATGACAGGTGTGTGGAGGGAGAGGAGCTTCTCACCAAGTATGCTGACTGTGTGCATGAGAAGGTTAGTGGCAGCTGTGTGGAGATGTTCCTCTTTCAACCTGGCTCCCGCGTGGCTCCTTTGAAAGTCAGTCTTAGTGCAGTGGAGGATATAGGAGCTTATGTTTGGCCTTTGGTGATGAGCCTTCTCATGCCGGGGCCCCTTCACTCATTCTCATTTTTTAGACAACCTGAGGACCTCAACTGGGAGTCCTTGCAAAGCTGTATCAACAGTGCAGGTCTTTGCTACCTTCACCTGACTTGAGGCTGGGGCTTCAGGCACCTTCTAATACAACTGGAGTGACTGAGAAAAACTCATTTAGTGTACTTGAAAAATTAAAAGGACTTTACACAGAAAAGAATTATTTTTGTCACAATGGAGGACTGTAGGATATTTTACCAGTGACTTTTCAGCTGACAAAAGCAAAAACTTGAGTTATTTTTGGAGAAAGTTGTTTAGTTTTTTTACATTCAAATATTATTTATTTTGTTGTTGAGAACATAGCAAAACATACACATCAATATTTTCTACACATACGACTTAACTGATACTGTGTTTTTTAAGGGGTAAAGCCATTACGCTCTCCTTTTCTGAGCCCTGGTGGCCTGGTCAGTGGGGAGTGTCACTGCTAACCCAAAAGCAGTGCCTCTCTGTGGATTGAATCTACATGTAGCTCTGAGGGAGAAAGATAGACAATCTCTTCCCATTGATTTATGGCCTAAGGGCTAATAGGTCAGTTATTTGTTCTTCTGACTGGACAGCAGTGAGTGTAGTAAATCCCTGTTAACAAATATTCACTACCCCCTAAGTTCCTATTAAATATTTTCTGTAGCTGTAGTATTGCCATAATGCCCAACATGGACCATGTATACATATTTCTAAAATTATGATTTATTTTTATTTGAGGGAATATTTATAAATCATACTAGTTTTTCGTTGGATCATGTAAATAACTTTATTTTACAACATTGTAATTACATTTTCATCCCGTCATTTATCCACAGTTTTAGAACATTAATGGATTAATACAGTTAATTAATTGCAGTTATCTAAATGACAAATAGTTGCTACGTATATCTGAATGATAGTGGTATTTGCTGGACTTCCTTGTAGGCATATGGATATTATCTTGTCACTTACAATATTGTACTTCAAGACGGATCTAGAAATTGCTTTATTAACTATGAAAGCAATGCCATTTTTCCTCACCTTTTCATCTCCTGAGTAATATATCATATGATCATCTGACTCAAAATGCCCCTTGCTGGTCCATCTCATCTCACCAATGCGTAGTATGTCAATATTTATTCATTCCATTTCTTCCTTAACAATATCTAATTTTCCTACATTCGTGGTTCTCACATTTCATGTCCCAATCACTAGTGTCTACTTAACAACTCTTCGTTTTCCTTTATATTTCCATACTTTTGAAAGCTCCACCTCACTTGCCCTTTCTGTTATTCTACGTGTGTTCTGTTGTACATAGGGTTTTCAGAGGCCTGCTCTTGTGGAAGTGGGTAGCCAGTCCTTCTTTCTAGTCTGTCTTAATCTAAATGTTATCTGACAGACAAGCATTTTATAGAAACAGGGAAAGATATATCCCTTATTGTACAATTATTTTCATTAGTTTCAGTGTTGTCCCTGCCCTTGGCACAAGTGTCTTGACCCATTTATTTCCCTGCTTCACCATCCACCAGGATACATATCCACTTCTACCCACTCCCTTCAACATCTATCTTCCATTGTCCAGCCCTTGATCTAATAGCTTATATCTAAATCTTCCTTGGCTTCTGTGATTCAAAACACTGCTGACAGTTTCTTATGCAGTGACCAGTGTCTCTTAAGTTTGGTGGTAATGTTTCCCAAGCAAAGAAACTGAAGAACAAATTCAAACCTTGAGTTGCTATAATCAAGGATGCTTTAGGCAGACTATTAAATGATCCAGGAAGTATTAAAAGAGGATGGAAAGAATATACTGAGTCACTGTATTGAAAGGAGTTGGCAGACAATGAAAGAAGAAGTTCAAGCTGCTTTGAAGGAAATAGCAAAAAATATGGCCCTCGGATAGATGGTATACCAATTGACATAATTCAGCTAACAGATGCTGCCCTGGACGTGCTCACCAAGTTGTGCCAAGAAATCTGGAGAACAACCACTTGGCCAACCGACTGGAAGAGATCTATATTTGTTCCCATTCCAAAGAAGGGTGACCTAACAGAGTGTGGAAACTATAGAACAATATCATTGATTTCACATGCAAGCAAGATTCTGTTGAAGATAATACAAAAATGACTGGAACAGCACATCAGCGGAGAACTGCTGGAAGTCCAGGCTGGGTTTAGAAGGGATCATGGTACTAGGGATATTGTAGCTAATGTTAGATGGATCTTAGTTGAAAGCAGGGAATACCACAGGAATGTCTATCTGTGTTTCATTGATTATGCAAAGGCATTTGACTGTGTGGATCATAAACTGTGGCTGACTCTGAGAAGAATGGGAATCCCAGGACATTTGATCGTCCTAATGCGAAACCTATACTTGGACCAAGAGGCATTCATCAGAACAGAGCAAGGAAACACTGCATGATTCAAAATTGGGAAGAGTGTAGGCCAGGGATGTGTCCTATCTCCATACCTTTTCAACCTATATTGTAGAGCAGATTATTTGGGAGGCTGGGCTCTGTGAGGAGAAATGTGGGGTTAGGATTGGTGGAAGTTCTATCAACAATCTGTGTTATGCAGATGACACTACCCTGCTTGCTGAAACTAAGGAGAACCTGAAGCACTTGCTGCAGGAGGTCAAGGACTGCAGCCTTCAATATGGATTGAGGCTCAATATCAAGAAGACAAAGATTCTCACCACTGGACCAATTGGCAACATCAGGATA